CACAATCCACTGTGACTGCGCGAAGATCGACTATAAGACCTATGCACTACTTCTCTGGTTTCTTCTATCAATAGCACGAGGGTTACCTTAAGGCACGAAAGGTCAACAGTATAATTAGAGATGAACTTGGGAGGTTTTCGATCGATAAATTTAACTTGAAGAAATCATGACAGCTCAGTAGCTCAAAGTATAGGCCATTATGTATACGCAAGCAAAACCAGAAGACAGACAAACTTTGGTATCTTCATTTGAACTGATAATTCCTCAAAAATATCATTCTCAGAGAATGGTGAAAAATCAACTGACGCCAATGTTAAACGCATTTTAACGGACCGTTGATGACTTCTTTGGTCAATGATGACTTTAATTTAACTATCGATGTCACGATTTAGCCTATGCTAAATAAATCTGAACTGAAATACATTTCAGTGCACTTCGGAATAGTTTCCTATCCAGATTTGATGTTATACGCCATAAAACATAAATGAAGTGAAACTTTCTTATGCACTATTCAAAAAGGACAGTAGTATTTTTCCTCTGAGTAATGTTTATAGTATTGATCGTTAAATTACTCATCAAGACTACTATTTTTGCTTTAACTGATTTTTTTCTGTTAAAGTAATCTTCAAAAGTACCGCGTTTTCTCTAGAGAAGTTTATCCTCTGTACTATACGAGTACAGATTCCTAAAAGCTAAAGGCACTGGTATATATTCTTCGTCGTTGAATATATCTTTGAGCATTGTTCGTATCCATATGTGTTAAGGTCTTCCTGTAACTACTGAAGTTCGACGTTTTTTTATTTATATGTAAAAATAAAAGAAATCTATGGCACAATAGAAACATCGTTGTGTTAGACCAGCATGCTATTTCCCGATCGGTGAGGGGATGCAATGCGATAACTGCAATAAGTGGTATCATAATATGTGCACCGAATTCACACCAGCTGCGAATAAACAGTGCTGCAAGCCATTATCAAGATTATGAAAACATGATGTTTTACTAAGTCCCTGTTGATTCTATATACGATCGAGCTGCTAAACACGGCTAAAAAATTGACCGATAAATGGACAGCAGCAGATGAACGGAGTTCGGTTTTTGAGGAAAATGTGAGCGTTATTATGAGCCCATCTCTGGACCTAAATGAAACAATAAGGGTGGACCCCATCAGGGAAGCAGATAAGTATATGGATGTAGGCATTATTACAAGGAGAAAGAAGAAGCGCGCTAAGAAGAAGAAACTACCTATAAAAGTTTGAGTTATGTGAATCTGCGGGTTCAGTTCTGGATTCACATACCAATGCAACACCAACTATTGGGGAGCCAAACCTGATCAGTGTAAAGGAAGTGATCAAGAGATAAGACAAGGTAAATGAGTGGCTCACAGCCACACCTAGGAAAGGAAATGTAAGGAAATAGAACGTAACCTCTGTGTTTGACGCCGAACTAAAGTCGGATTGTATCGAAAAGACGATTTCAGGAACTAAGATTCCATAGCGTGTCAAGACGGACCTCGCCGAGTGGTCAGTCATCCTTCTTAAATAAGGACAATCTTCTGATAAGGAACTAAAGGCTGGATTTCAACACGACCTCAGTCATAAAAAGTCCTTAACAAACAAGCTACTCCTAGAAACAGTTTTAGGAGTTAACGCCTGTAAGCTTTATAGAAAAGGGCAAAAGGTGGATTCTAAAAGTACTCAGAAAGGCCACCTCTTGAAGGTTAGATAGTGAATTAGTTGTTGTATATCGCAGTCCAGAATGTGTAGTAGATAATTCCCTTCTAAGCAAACTTAAGCCCTGGTTTAATAGAGGTAAAAGTCTTATAGTAGACGCATTCAATGCACGGTATATAGACTCGGTTAACCTAGAAGTAGGTTCATCGATAACGTCATTCGATTGTAAACTGTTGGAAACCTCGATTGTATTAGCTTTATTCCAACACATTATGAACTTACTCTTCTCTTTTCGATTTAGTCTTCACACACTGTGATGACGTCGGTCAAATGACTTTCCTCTCACCACTAGGGAGAAGGGCTCATACAGTCATATTATTCATATTCATGGCTGAGATTGCACCGGTCTGTCCTACTATATGGAAGGCAGATATGGAGGCAATCAACTACGCAGCGTCGGTTGAAAACCGGGAAATTGACTTTAGGGCATCAGTACAAGAGATATGGACTCTTTTCAAACATACATACACTGGACAGTCCCAAAGAAGAGGAAGCACGGCTTTCCCTGGATAGACCGGGATATTCGATGTTTGCTAAGACAAAAGGAGGAATGTTGCTATCAGCCTTGGCATAGCAAGTACGATGGAACGCCATAGATCAGTAAGAAACAAGTGTATAACAAAAATTCGGGAAGCTCAAAGAAAATATGAAATGCAGTTGGCACAATCTGCTATCAAGCAGCCCAAGACAATATTCTCGTACATAAACTACAAAAGAAGGATGCATCATTGGATTCACAACCCAATTAAAGAAGAGAGTGGATCTGAAATGATAGAGGAAGATCAGGAAAAAGCAGAGGCTATGGCTGATTATCTTGGGGCAGTTTTCACTCAGAAACCTCCTCTAGACAAAAAACCAGACCCAAATACAAAGTCATCAAACCATCTGCTGACCGTGGACTTCGATCAAGACGATGAAATTAAGGCTCTTAGCACCTTAGACACGGAAAGGTCAACAGGACCGGATGAACTACACTCCAAAATCCTGAGACATTTCGCACAATATATCGCGACCCCACCGACTGTGATGTTCAATATGTCACTTGACCAAGGTGTGTTACCGATGGACTTGAAGGACGCAATCGTCACTCTCATATATAAAACAGGACCAAGACAAGTTCCATCGAACTACAGACCTGTAAGCCTCACCAAGGTTGTAATTAAAATATTGGAAAGAATAGTCAAACAAAACATAATGAAATTTGTGGAAACCAATAACTTGATAAATAGCGAACAAAATGGTTTCAGAAAGGGTTTATCTTGTACAACAAATCTCCTTATAACAAGGGAATATTGGATAAAGGCGTTAGACAACGGAAACTCAGGGGATGTCTACATAGACTTCAGTAAGGCATTTGACAAGGTGCTAACAAATAGAATGCTATTGAAGTTAGAAAATCTTGGTATTGCCGGATCTCTTTTAAAATGGCCTAAGGATTTCCTAGTAGGTCGTAGACAGAAAGTAAGGATAAATTCCAAGTGCTCCACCTGGAGACTAGTACTTAGTGTATTACCACAAGGTATTGCTCTAGGTCCTTTATTTTTTGTACTGTACGTAAATGATCTCCCAAGTATAACGGAGTTTCAAATGCTATTATACGCTGACGGTGTAAAAATCTGGCGAGTAATAATCGAAGACGCAGACGCATGTGCACTACAGGCAGACTTACATAATGTGATTAAGTGGTCTAAAGAGTGGCTGATGCCTATCAACACGGCAAAGTGTGTCTACAAATGTTAATAGTTACAACATAGGGGAATCGCCATTACCTGTTGTCCGGTCTCATAACGATCTAGGGGGGACAGCGAGTCTTGATCATAAGACGACGGCCCATTTCCGGGAGGTCGCAGCTAATGGGTTTAGAACCCTCTGCACTTGAAAACGGACGTTTACTAAGTCAGATACTACCATGTTCAACCGTAGTGAGATCTAAGCTTGAGAACTGCGTTCAGGCTGCAAGCGCTTGTTCAAAATGTGACTAAGATATCATGGAAAAAGTACGGCGAGCAGCTACTCGTGCAATTCCAGAACAGAATATTAAGAAATGATTTTGGACCTAACATATTCTGTCTTTTTTCCTCACCGGCACAGGACACCTCAGAAGACAAAGCGGGCGCGTGGAAAAGCCAGGAACGAACAAAATCCCCGGGGCATATAGGTTTTCATACCGAGTCATCAATACTTTGAACTTGTTGCCAGAAGCAGTGGTGACCGCACCTTCAATTGACTCACTCAAGAGAAGACTGGACACTCACATAAGTAAACTAGAAAAGGAATAACATAGGCCGTAGGCCTTATGTCCTTACTACACAAATCTGAATCTGTGCCCTGAAATTGTGCACTTTAACTATTCACAAGGTTGCCGATAATTTGACTTGAAGGTCGTTCACGTTAGTGTCACAATAATTCTAATATCTACTTAACATGCAGTGTCTGTAGAGTAATTACGTCATAATGGTCTCTTTTATTTCAAAAACGTCTATCTCTTAGTACATTAGCGTGTTGTATTTTCTAAATTGTCTTTGATTGTAAATGGTTCTCTAGGTAAGTCTGGTCTATGCTCTATTCATATGACTTTGTCCCTTCGGCCTTCCGTCATGTGCAATGTTTCCAGTCATGTTGAACAAAACTCATAAGTTAGTTCAGGTTGCTTTGATAGTTTACAAGCGATCTTCATTGTTGTTGTTTATTGGTTGACGTAGACCTTCGCAATTACTTGGAATCTCACATTATTACTGGGTTTTCCACATGTATGATTAGTCAAAGCCTTTTCAATCTGGGAGTGGTATAAGTTGTCACACATTTTTTGTGCAGAGTTTTAATGGATCAGTACTTGTCTGAAATCATGATACCTACATATTTCCCCTTTACAATCTACTTAAGTAGTCTTTGTTGCGCTTAAAACATAACTAAAAATACCGAATGTGTCTTGTGTATGTTTCAGTACGTACTTATGTACGGATCTCATGAAGTTCAATTTTAACCAACTACAGTTAACTTATCCCATTTCTGATTGCATTGCTGATAATAAAAGTATCTCCCGGTGGTACGAAAATCTTCAGCTCTATAATTCCAGATCCTACCTTCGATGAAAAAATTTACTCTTTTTTAGCTAAATAAAAGACTTTCAACGCTAGGAAATAGTATTAGGTCATAAAAATTGAGATCCTATCATTCCAAATAATGTTAATAAGGAATAGCCTAACTTTGACAGTCATTTCTAATTCATGACTGTAAATTCGAATCTTATTTTGATGTATAATCCATGGGCTTAAGTTTTGTCATTTCTCGTTGGTTTGGCTAGATACTTTTTGTTAACTTAAATTTTATACACAATCCATTGAAGTTCTGAATCTCGGTGTAATCAAAGCCTTTCTAAAATACAGTAAAATACAGGGTTACGTACAAGCAGTGACATAACTAGACTGTTGATTGGTAAGGTCATCAGTTTGTGTGGCTCTGAAGTGTTAAACATACACATATCTCAGCTATTGAAGTTTACTATAATGACCAGTAAATTTTATTGTTGCTCCAAACAATATTTCATTTATGGACATCAGTGTTAGTCACATTACATTCTTACGCATAGCTGAACTTGAATATTTTTTAGACTGAAAATATCACGAGTAATTCACGTTTTAATTAGGTGTCATAGTTGATACCAGGAGTAAACTCATCCCAAATCATGCATTCTTAAAAAATCAAGAATGTTGGTCATCATTATATCGGTTGACCTCATCAAAAAGAAGTAAAAGGAGCACTCTAAGTTGTTTTCAAGTTTTCTTAAATAAAACAGGTGTTTAGTGCTTTTAGTATATTTGGTAGGTCTCTTTCAGATTGATATATTGCTTATCATATAAGTTAATTTATCTTTTTTACACCAATCACAGTTTCTTCATGAGGTTGCTTAAACCGACCTGGGTGTCTCATGGATTTCTGTCAAAGGACAAAGCTGTTGGTAAGTTTTCATCAGTTTCGTATGTCCGCTTCAGGTCGACCTATATATAGTTTAGATATACATCCTGATGGTTCACGTTTAGCCACTGGTGGGGTAATCGACACATGTGGAGTTGTTGTTTTGTGGAATATGGCTCCTATTCGAGATCCAACTTTAGAGTCAAGTGATAACTCTTGTCTTAAGCTTTTTCAGATGGACAGTCATCAAGGTGAGGCTATAACTAAAATACCTTTATTACTATAATTAAGTTGAAATAATTCTTAGTATTTTGTTCGTTCATTGTCAACTAGCTCCTTTCTAAGGGTAAACTTTTCCTCGAATGTGTAACGGCAATAAGTTTCTCCTGCTTCAGTTTGGACACCCAGACAGTATTCCAGCCCTCGCGCAAATCGAATGTTAGAGTGTGGCGCATACATATTTGTTTCCTCCGTGTACCAATGAATATATTTAGTGCTTCTTCCCAGCATCTTGGATTGAGATATATTCCGGCAAGACTATAATTTATGGACGACTTTTGAGCGGCGTCGGAGTGGCCTTGAGAACGTTCGTTTACTCACTAGGACTGAATGAGGGTTATAAACCAGTATGAGGAATTAAGTTTATGATTTCAAGTTGATGGTTTGGGTTAGAAATTATATTTAGGTTTTTCATCACGAACTGACACTAGCTAAATTGTTGGCCTGTGATAATTATAACGATGTTCTAACGTTTGGCGGAGGGGGATAATATAATCAATACATCCTCGACCAGAATAAAAACTAGTCTGCTTCTCGCGATTCAATCTTTCTCGGGTTTCGAACAATGTACGAAGTTTGACAGGAGCCAATAGTTTGGATGCATTCGGAAGTAGACTTATCCCCAGATAGCTGTTAAATGTGTAACGTGAACCCTTTTAAAGCAGCTAAATGCCCTAGTACGGCCAAGGGTGTGGAGAGTCAGCTCCCCTTCTCGAAATGCTCTCAAACGGCCACACGTATAAGGCCTCTGTCAGGGAAGTCCTATTCTATATCCTATATCCTGCTGTAACCTTTTACTTTCTTCGTAAAAAGTGGTTGTATCTTCCTTAACTGAAAGATTTCTTCTGATTGTACCTTTTCGTCCTCCTAGTATTACTATTATTATTATTATTATTATTATTATTATTATTATTATTATTATTATTATTATTATTATTACGCTACCTTACACCAATCTCTTGAATTCCCCAAATCGTGATCATCACTATCACTTCATTTTATGGATTTATCCTGTATTTTCAAAACCATATTCTTTGTGTTTAATCTTTTTCGCAACCAGAGACACTTCTGTTACTTCACCTGATTTGTTATCCACCTTGTTAATTTTATCTCGCTTTTGTAATATTGTACAGTAACTTGGGACGATACATGTTTCCATATTGAATATAACCGTCAATAAACGGCCAATTCACCACTGAAACACTTTAGGCTTATATACTTCTCTGCATTTTACAACAACAATTTTTTTCTCTCGGCCAGCTTGTGTCAACTGTGTTCGTTGGTCACCATCTGGTCGTTGGTTAGCGTCTGCTGGAATGGACAAAGTTATTATGTTATGGTCGAAAACAGCGTAAGTCCTAATGTAGTTCTTCGACTTCACTCTATTATACTTTTATGTATGCATTTGAATTGTAGTTTCTTGTTCATTTTCAGTCTATAGAGATTCTGTAGGGCAAATATTCCAATAAGAGACTGACCAATGGCAGTCCTAAGTATCAATAAAAAGATTCAAATAAACAATACAAAAATGAATTTAAATGATTTTATTTAATTCTTCACGATGATGGCGCTGATAATAAAATATTTTTTATTGCTCTATTAGTAAATTAATTCATTACTTTATTGTCAGAAATTATTTTCCGATACATTACGCTGAACCTGTAATATGCACTGTTCCCGTTTTCAAATGATTGATTTTGTTCACTGTCTCTTCAGCTGTAATGTTATATCACTTTATACATGGATCATGTTGTAGAGAGCTCTTGTCAAATCTGATCATGGTAATATTATTTTGTTTACAGCGGTACATCTCGTCCAGTTCAGGTATTCGGTTCAAAAGAGCCTACCAAGTTTACGGAACATTGGCGTTGCGTATCAACCCTTCGAGGCCACAGTGGTGGTGAGTTGTTTATCTTAAGATAATTTCGACTAATTTTATCTCAAAAAAGCTTGATTAGTTGACCTAAATACTTAACTTTCAGCTTTTAGATTATCCATGTTATTAACTGGACTTGAAGGCGCGATTATATTGGCAAATAATCTCGTATTTCACCTACGACAACCTCAGAGGATAGTTGCTTGTGATATTTCTGACTAAACGGAATACACCCATTATGACTGAAAAGAGAACTCTTCGCTGAACTAATCTTTCTTTCTTATATTTCTGATTGACACATTGTGTTTAATCATTCCTGTCTTCATCTTCATCGAATATGCCTTTATTAGTATTCACCATATTTAAATGCCATATTTCACAGTCGCGTAAAGTAGCGCAGCTAATGGCGGGGAGTGACTGATATTAAAATCCTGGAAAGGATAATTATTGAATATATCATACCAAATTCAAGCATTAAATATCAACTTCTCATATTATCTCTGTGATTCTGAACCAAATACTCAATGTGATGGTTCTAAAAAATGCTTGGCTAATAAAACATCAGTTACCAATTTGAATCTTGATAAAAATTGTCACCTTTTTGAGATATTCTGGTTTTCCTCATTCTTAATTGTAATGATCATGTTCCTATTCGCTATTTTATTGAGGTGAAATTCTGATTTGTTTTTGCCAGAAAGATTTAAAGGTAATTAATCTCTTAGTTTGTCATCTTATAATAGGTTTAATCTAATCAGTGTAAAGCGATGGCTCAGTGATTGAAACCTTTGACTTTTACCCAATTTGTAGGAGGTACGACTATCATTTCACCTATTTCGGTCTAGAAAATTGGGTGGCATCACTAATCTTCACATTTTATGTGACCTGTAACTAAGTGTACAAATTTGTATTTGGTATATGACTTAATTTGTATATTAATCATAAGTAAATAGAATGTCACACAATATGTATTAGGTCACCTTATCATAATTCTTATTTGAACTGTTGGAAATAAAATGAACAACAGAGAAGTAAAAACTATGGTAGTAAAAAACCCAATTTATAGAATATAGTACCTAAAAAAAGAATGAAAACCTGGATTAAAAAGTGTACAGAACATCTCCCTAAAATCTGACAACCATACAGTAAATAGTTAATTTGCAATAAATCGATCAATTGTCTCAAACTTGACTGTTCCTTTCGCAAATATCAGTACATTGTCTCGGATTTCATTGTTCATGCATTTTCATAGCAACTGCTCTTCGTTCCCGTCCCTTCTCTCTCGATCTTATATACTACTTATGCGGATATAAGTAGCTCACACCACAATATTACTACATTCAGCATTGATATTTCTAACATCGTTCATCCATTTCGAGTCCAATCATCTGAGATTTTTATTAAATTAAAGTATATATCATTATTTAATCATCTTACATCACTCATATTATTCTCGGTGATTAGGGTTTTTTCTTCTGAGTCAGATGAAATAACTTTTAAAGAAGCAATATTCATAACATCATTATCAGAATGAATTGATAGACTGTCTGTTTATTCTCTCCGTTATTACCAATTCCTGTTTTACTTTTATGAAACAGAATGGCTTAGTCGTCGGATCACTCAACTTACAATTATTATGTCACAAATTTAAGTCATTCTTTAACTGCCTCGATTTGTACAGTTTGGTACTAATATTGTGGTGTACTACTGATGTCGGTAGATATAAATAGCATGTATCGCTAATCGAAAGTGAAATACATGGAGGTAGAAGGCTAAGAACATCGAAGAAACAGAACGAGAACAAAGAATGATTGATGTGGAAACAAGAGAACAATAAAGTGTGAGACGATTGATTGATATTTACTAAAGGAAGAGCCAAGTTTGAGACAATTGATTGACATTTTGCAAATTAAGTATTTATATTACGGTTCTCACATTTTACTAAGATGTTCTGTAATTTTGTGTACTAGGAAGACTAGTCATCTATCTCTTATGATTTAAACTTAACCTACATGACTATATGGTTAAAATAGAAGACCATTGATCACTTTAAATAAAAATCTCAATAATTACATGTTATTTGTAGTACTAAACTAGGTAATAGGTTTAGGATTAATTTACTCTACTTAATGAACAGTAAATGATATACACAATAACTGATTCATTATATAATAGATCACAAGTAGAACAGTATAAAAGCAAGATACTATTGATATATCCCTTTCTATCAAATATCAAAGTTAATATTTGTATTAAACTATCTACAGATTAGATTTCTGTGTATATTTATATTATTCTCTCATAGTTTTTCATAGGATTATTCTACTGGGAATTTTTTCTTTCTCTTATTCTGTAGATATTATTGACTTATCTTGGTCTCATGATGGAAATCGTTTAGCTTCTACCAGTGTTGATAATTCTGTAATTGTTTGGTGTCGTCAAAAACTTCCTAATGGTTCAGGTTATACAAGCAATTCTTTCTATTTACAAGCAACTTTAAGTGGTCATAAAGGTTTTGTGAAAGGTGTTACTTGGGATCCAGTTGGTCGTTATTTAGCTAGTCAAGGAGATGATTTAACTGTGAAAATATGGCGTACTGCAGACTGGCAGGAAGAAGCTAGCATCAGTAAACCATTTACAAAGGTAATGTTAATGATACGTTAATTTTATAAGCTACACTTATGAATATCTGGTACTCGAACACCTAATTATGAATTCTTATCCGCTTAGTCGTTCTTCAGAGTTTTCCTAAAGTTAAGCTACGGACAATAGCGAGTACATTCTAAATGAGAACAGAAGCTTTAATTCAAGTTTTGTTTATATACAGAGAACAAGGTTATGTACGGATAACTTTAACATCCTGGAAGGATGCTAAATTTAGTAACAAAACAGACAAATATTCAGTGTGCTGCATATCCGGTCGGTTTTCTAGAAATTCACATTAGATGGTGATTAGGCTTTACGTTTTTAGTCTTCTTGTGGCTTCTGAAAACTTTTTTGAAAGATTCTCGAGAGCTCGCAACATGAAAAGTATTGCTGGGCATTGAGAATACTTTTGATTGCGATCAGAAATAGTAACTGTCGAGAAGTTCGTGTATCTGGGTATCTGCATAAGTGCTGGTGGGGGTGTGAGTGATGAGATCAATGCACGAATAGTGAAAGCCAGAGCGGCTTATGCCAATTTGGGCCATCTTTGGCGCCTTCGTGATGTTAGTCTGACTGTAAAAGGTCGGATCTACAATGCTTCGGTGAGAGTAGTTTTGCTCTATGCTTGTGAAACCTGGCCTCTCCGAGTTGACGATGTTAGACGACTCTCTGTGTTCGATCATCGTTGTCTCCGAAGGATTGCTCACATCCAGTGGCAACACCTTGCTAGTAACGCGGAGGTTCAGCATCGTGTGTTCGGGCACAGAGACGATAATCCAATTGGTGTCACCATCTTGAAACACCAACTTCGGTGGCTTGGACATGTTCTATGAATGTCATCCCAGAGATTTCCACGTCGTGCATTATTTACCGACTCTGGGACTGGTCGGAAAATGGTGGTTAGAAAAGGCGGAGAGGTGATCAGTGTAGGACATGGTGTCGTGGTATGAATGAAAGTTGCAAAGAGCTGGCTTTTGTTGGTCCTTCACGACTCCCTTGCTGGGGTCCGAGAGATGGTGCTACACAGCGGCTAGAGACGTTATCAGATATGGCTCAGAATAGAAGCCAGTGGCGATCATGCTGTAACCTTCTCCTACTTTCTTAGTAAGAAGTGGTTGTATCTTCTTTAACTGAAAGATTTCTTCTGATTGTGCCTTTTCGTCCTCCTAGTATTACTATTATTATTATTATTACACTACCTTACACCAATCTCTTCGTTATTTTGTCTCTTTCTTTAACGCTCCTTACCTTTTTTCCTTCTGTTTAAATTCTCATTGTATTGTGTGGCGCATGTATATTGGCGCACTCTTGTACCAATATTTATGTGTTCAAATAAATAAATAAGTGACATTTCAATGGCCCTACATGTCTTTCGTCATGCCAAGTGCTTTATATGTGGTAAAATGGGACATATCGAGCCAGTTTGTAAAACTAGTGTTCATTTCGCTGCAAGTAATACTAAACTTTTTGATTCGGATCTTATTAATTTAGGTGATTTTATTAATCATGTACTATCCTTATTTACAACTTCCAGTGGTTCACTGCTCATTCAAAAACGATTATATTTATCCGGTGGTGCATTCCACAATCTTATTGCTGACAATACTATCATCAAATACATCATTTCAGTTGGAAAGTTGGAATCATAAAGTCTTAATGCGATAATTAAATCTAACAAAGTTTCTGCTTTGAGTAATACAGATCATCAAGCCCCTATTCTTGGGTGTCATAATTTACTGATTAGAGACGATAAACCTTCAATCCTAACTTGTGAATTCATCATCACTGATTGCGGACTATCTATCTTGAGTCTAGAAAAATTAAGAATGCTTCAGGAACAGCAATTCTGATTGATCATGCAAAACGCTTCTAGAGAAGCGCTTGCTGATTTGCTAACTACGGCACTGAATTATAGAAAATTATTCCTGACTCGAAAGCCCTCTCATTTTCATGTGCAAACCAGAAATTTTAGAGACCTAGAAGACAAACTCCATTTCTACTTAGTGACGTACTAACGCCCGTTGCATTTTATGGAGGAGTATAGGCCGCCCACCAACACTCTACATTCAACTTTGTCCTGGACAATCCTTTTTAGTTGTTTCCTGTTGTCATTCATCCTTTTCATGTTCGCTTCCAATTTCCAACGTAATGTGTTCTTGTACCTTCCTCTTTTTTGTTTCCATTCAGGATTCCAAGTTGGCACTTGTCTCGCGATGCACTTTGATTTCTTCAACGTGGTTCCTATCCACTTGCAACGTCTTTTCCTAATTCCCTCCTCAACTAGGAGCTTGTTCTCTCTCTCCCACAGTAGACTATTGCTGATGGTGCTTGTTGTGGCCCCCTACCTCCTGACGCGATGTATTTAGTACTTCTTTGATCCCTTACCAGTCGTCCTTCGTAGTAGTTTCTTCTTCTTTCAGTAGATCCCGTTAGGCTTGGTACCTATTGTTTAGAGCTGTGTTGAGTTGGTTGAGTTTATTAGAATCTTGTAGGGAGGCTGTATTCAACCTTTGTACTGCTGTTTCTACAACTGCCCACTGTTTCTTTAGCTTCAGTTTCGTTTTGGCCACAACCAGGTGGTTATCTGAAGCTATATCCCCTCTTCTCCGTTCTGATATCTTCTATTGTCCTTCGGAATTTTTTATTCATGAAAATATGATCAATCTGGTTCTCTGTTATGTGGTTCGATGAGACCAATGTAGCTTTGTGTATGTGTTTGTGTGGGAATATTGTTCCACCTATAACCAATTTGTTGAATGCACACATATCTGCAAATCGTTCCCATTTTCGTTTCTCTATCTTCCAGTTCATGTCGTCCCATGATATCTTCATAACTGTTGTTGTCGATTCCGACTTTGGCATTCAGGTCATCTATCAAGATAGTGAGATCCTTTCTTGGGCGCTTCACTATGATTGATTGTAGCCTCTCATAGAACTGATCTTTATTGTCGTTGTTGCTATCATCGGTGAGTGCATAACACTGAATAACACTCATTTCACTACCTCTGAGAAATTGAAAGACTCTGAGGTGAGAGCATATAAAGTCCTTTGATACAAGATTGCCAGACCGGACGCAAAAGAAACAATGATGAAATTGTTTAGATAAGAAAATTTTCGTATAAGAACTCCTTTTCCACAATCTGTGGAAGGTCTACTAAATCCGATCGAACGATCTGTCTCATATACAAGGCAGTCACAACAACCGAATAGGTTATAAAGACTCAGGTGCGTCCGTTTCAATTCCGCTACTAATGGTAATATTTATTGTTGCATTCTAGATCAAAAAGAGTCTGTACCCAATACACAGCCATCCAGACACATCATGAACCTACGGAGAAGACGCTGATCGCAAAAATTGGGATTTTTATCAAAGCTGTGGCAGTTGTGATATTTGTACGATCCAAAGATTTATTTGCACTTCATCACCCGCTGATTACAAATCCCAAATATAATACATTCATTTGTGTTCATGCAGTCCTACCTTTCTTGAATTGCACTATTTCGATAATTGGAATAATTTTAATTATCATATCTAATTATGACTGTCTAAATTCTGTTTATACTGTCAATGTTATTTCTGTGACACAGATTAAATTCTTTATGTCTTTTGAAGTAACATTAATTGTAAGTTGACCGTGCTGTAGATTTTTGGTCAGCATTATGATAAGTGGTTAATTCATTGTCTCAAGGACTATTCGTTAGCCTTACGCTACTAGCTTTGATGATGCTGCACTAAACCTTGTGACTTACGGTGAGGAATTTGTCCCCAGATGTTTCTGAAGTCTTTGTAGTTTTGAAAAGCTGTGTTTTGAAAACCTCATTCGGAGGCTATAAATTTTTTCGAGTTCTTTTGGTGGTATTTTTTTGTTATATCCTACTGTAACAGTTTAGTTTGATTGTTTAAAAGTTGGTCACAAGCATATAGGCAATGTCAAAAAAATTATTGCACATGTATTCATTCACTTCTTTATTTTGTATAGGTATTGTTTTTTCTATTATCTTATACTGAATTCTGAAAAGCTGTGTATGTTTAAAAAGGATAATCCCGTACTCCAACCGTTCTTCACCACGATCAGAATGAAAAATTATTTCCCACTAGTATGATTACTTCTATCTAAAATTCGAGGGTGTGAAGACAATTAGAACGAACTTATTTTGCAATTAGTTTTTGATACTAATTGCTTTTCTTTGAATGACTTTCATAATTTGTACATTTACTTGGAGTGACTGTAAAATAGTAGTTTGAAATCAAACGACCTTGAATCTCCATCTTCCGTTTTAAATCCTTTATAACACGACAAACCCCTTATCGCCCACAAATACTCTGCTACATGCATATGTCTCTTGTTCTCAATCACCTGTTGTTATGACAATGGAATTCTAATGTATTTACTATCTACGTTTACAGACCACAGCGATATTCCTATTATAAACTTCGTCTGGCCATACAGCTCAAATTATAAAAATGTTTATACGAATTATTAATTACTTATTATTGTGGATTATTATACCAAATGAAACTCGAGCACGTCAAGTCCTGACAATTGAAGCAACGTCCAGTAAATTTTTCTCGTATTTATAAATTATATTTATTATCTTAATACACTAATTTTTGGGCGTCATAAATCTATCATTATTTTTTAATTGATATAGTTTTGGTCCATCACAAAGGGTTCACACCAGCACAAAACTACCATCGTCTTATACATGTAACTGACCTCAAGCACCTAATGCGAAGCTAGAATGAGAAACACTGATAATATATATTTGAAGGTCGACTCAATACCAACTAGCTCCAAACGAAGAGAAATAACACGAAACAAACGATCACCAATTCAAAACCGTCATTATATTTCAGATATCTATCTATATTCACGCGAGTACAGGACACGCGATAGATCGATTGAGCAACACTATTAACACGGAGCAACAACGATAATGATGGAAAACGCAGAGTGCTAAATAGACGAACAATCGATTCTAGCATATAAATGGAAAATGCTATATCAACAATTTAC